CTATTTTTCTTTTATGAACTTTCTATCTTTTTCAGTCTTTCATATTTTTAGTTTGTATTAGTTTTTTAATCTATGAAACTGTAAACTTCAATACAAATATTATAAAAAAAGAATGGGTAAAGTAATGGTCTTTCTTTATATAATAGCATGTGTTTATATATGGCACTATATTTTGTGAGTCTCTGCAGGCAGCATTATCTTGCTGAGTTTGGAAGCTAAGAAGGATCTAACTTGGAGTAAAAATATGTCCCAGAAGGAAACAAACTACTTTCCCGCTGTTGCCAAGATAACTCCATTGATGTATCCATAAAATGAGCAGATGACAAGTCACTGTTAATTCATAACAGTAGCCAGTTTCTTTGGTTCATGGCAATGCTAAATTGTAGTCAAACAGCTTATTACTTTATATTACACTGCATTCTCTTAGGAATTACCATTAGAATTGGAAATACTTGTCCAGATATCTGAATACAATGAGCTAATGAACTATTAGTATAAAATTCTTTAACTGTAATTTCATTTCAATAATTTCATTGTTATTGGTGACTATGAATCTGTTACTCATCATAAAACAGATTAACAAAAAGAACCCAGAAACAGAATAGAAAATCCGAGTAAGGCATTTTCTTAGCATGATGTGCTTATTTCTGAAATTGCTTTGCGACAGCCATTACAATAGCAATTCAGAGTAAGTGGTGCATTTCTAAGATCCTACTTACAGAAACCAAAATAACAATTCTGACACATATAAATAAAATAATGTTAAATGGTAATCTGTTTTATTGGATTTTTAAAAAAATAAAATAAAAAAAAATAAAAAAAAAATATTTCCCCCTCTGCACTGTCACTTACTCTGAAGGCCTAAACTTTCTTGAATACAAAGAAATTAAAAGAAGAATGACTGTGCAATTTAAAATTTGAGTGTAGTAATTTGTAATTCATTTTATTTATTACATGAATTTATATATATATATCCAACATGCACATAGGTGATTCTGTGTGGCTTACAAAATTTAAACAAGCCAACTATATATAAAAAGTCATGTAAAAAAATGTACCCGTCCCACCTCTCATGGAAGAAAAAACAATCACTTGATTGGCTCCCTCTTTATTGATGGCCCCCACTGCCTGCTGACAAAACCACATATTTGGGGTGTTCAGGATCAATCCATTCACCAGTGGGATTTCTCAAAAGCAGTTCTGCTTTGAAATCCATTTCTTTGCTTAGCAAATTTTTTTTGCTAGCATATACAAGAAAAATATATGATTTTAAAAAGATTTTATCCAGTCATATGTTATACTTTAATCAGTTATTATTTACTTGAATGGACTGAGTAATAAATTACTATTCCTTGAAGTGTAACTGCAAAATCAATTTTATTACATTATTAATAACACTGTATTGCATACAAGTTTTTCTCAGAAACACAAGAGAAAATGTCTGTGGTTCTAACCCTATTAAAAATAATCTTAGATGAATATACAGAAAAACTGGTGAAAGGAAATTGAAGTTCTACTAAACTTGCTAAAAAAAAAGAGAGGTTCTAGATTTAAAAAGGAATCACATTTAGGTTGAATGTAGCAGTAGTTCTCAAGTGAAAATACAGATAAAATTTGGTAACTCTAAATACACTGTCCTGTGCCTGACCTGTTTTTTTCTCCCCACAATGCAGAGATTGGAGTGAAAGGGATTACAAAAGAGTAAACACAATGGGGAATATATCAGACTGTTTGCACAATGTGCTTGCAACCCTTAGCATGTTTGGGGCTGTCAGCAACATTGCATTCATTTTGATGTGTATTACCCACTGGGTGCCTGCTTACTCTCTTGTAATCTCTTTTTCTCTAATGAATGTAAATATAAAAATTAATTGTCTTCTTACTAATTATGCCAGCACTGGGGTGAGCTTTCCAAAAGATGGAGGAGTGGAAAAGGAAAGCACAGTTGCAGTCACATGATTTCCCATATAGAAGGAAATAATTTATTTAATGACAGAATTGCTGGTCCCAATTGTGGTTGCTAAACAAGGATCATCTGTATATAACAAGGTCATTATCACTGACTTCAACAGCTTCCACAAATCTTATAGTTGTTTTGCCTTTAAGCAAATATGTAAACACTCATTTACACCTTGGTAGGAATAATTATATGAAAAGCTGGATTTTTGTTAAATCAATTGCAATTCTGAACTTTTGTGTCAATAAGATCCAGATTTCCACAGTTTCTATTTTTAACAGAAATGGCTTGTAAATCTATATGAAACAAATACATTAGCATTCACTGCAACAACTATTCCCTTGGATTCCTTTATACCTGTACTTTTTAGAAGTAAATCCTATTGAACTCAATAGGTTTTCTGAACAGCAAATATACAAACAACTGGACACTGTCTGCAGATCCTGCATATAAACATTTCATTGATAAAACATCTGCTTGTTTCATTTTATATGCTGTGAACATTTAGTTCGTATTCTGTATGTTAGAACTGAATTTAGATCAGCTGTGGTAATATTACATAGATGTTTATTACAGTTTCCTATTTCCCAAGAAATGCAGAATGATATATTGGATAAAATATTCTTGTAGAGGAGTGATGACATTTTGTTGGTTTATGATTTGCACTTATGTATTTTTATGCTTCCTGTAACATAACTATCAAATTATGTAAACCTTTCATTGATTATATCTGTACTGTATTTTTTAAACTGAAATGTATCTAAGAACTGGGAATGAAGTATGCAGCAATTTTCAATTTTAGATAGATTTTTTTTTAAAAGTAAAGATGACAATGTGTTTCCTTGGGAGCATGTCCCACACAGGCACACAGAGAATTGCACTGAAAAAGATTCATATTTTATAGATGTTAAATTTTTTGAAAGAAATCCAGAAACCGCTTATCGTTGCACCATATGTTTTCAGTTTAATGCAAAAGTTTTTGCCAATGCTGGCATCTCCTCCAATTCTTCCCTTTGCATTCATCTTTTTTTTTTAATTACCTGTGGCGGAAGTGAGGATCTATTTGCCAACTTTGTTTCCTTTCCATTCCAGATGCTCCATCTCACAGACCATATTTCAGCACTCTCTTAAATTAACTGCATTTTAGTGTTGCCGATAAGAGGTATTATGCAATTTCAGAGGAACAGGTGAGCAGGATTCTTTTATGATTTGGAGCTGGGCAGCAGCTGCAGCGCTATCCGAATTTGCAGCATTTCCTCCCTCCTTTAATGGGATTAGGGAAAAAAAGACTATTTTCTCAAGCATTAAAAAACAAAACCCAAGTGGCAGAATCTGTTTTTAAGGCAACATTTGACTTTAACCCACACCCACTCCAATTATTATATCGGGCTAAATTCTTTTACGACCAAAGCCCCAGAGAGCGTCCGTTAGTTTTGTTGTCGTTTTTGAAAGCTTACATGCAGTAATATTAGAGCTGGCACATTCTCCTCCTTAGTGGCAGCAGCTGTCGCTATATGTGGGGGAGATGGCGACGCCTGAAGGAGGAGGAGAAGGGGGAAAAACTGTGTGTTCAACCGAGGGGCTTGCGCGGCTCATTGGCTCTGTGGTAGCGGTACCCTTTGTCGCCGCCGTCGCCGTTGGCGTTGGAGAGCGAAATGGAGGTGCAAAATCAGGCGGGGTGCGGGAAAAGAAAACGAGGGACAGGCGGGGCTGAAACATAAGGTCTGCAGATCACCGCATGCATTAACTCACACCCGGCGCCTGAGCCGCCTTCAGCTGCCGCTATTCCCGCCTCGCTACAGCGCCCAACCAGCGCCGCCAACTCCCGCCTCCCGCTTATAGCACGGGGAAGGGAGGTGTGGGAGAAAAATTGCCCCGAGAGCGCCGTCCCCCTCGGGCTGAAGAGCAGAGCACAGGAGCAAGGTGGATTATTACATGCCTGCATTTCTCTTAGTTCTTAAATCTCGGAGGAGGGGAGAAAAATAACAACAAACCAAACCAAAACAACAACAACATCAAAAAACGTGAAGGGAAAAAGGGGGAAAGAATTGCACAGCCTGCTCAGGAAGGATCTCTCTCTCTCTCTCTCTCCCGCACGCCTCAGTTACTGGCTTGTCGCCCGGGGATCGAACTACCCCTTGGAGATTTATAGCAGCAAAAGAAGCCACGAGATATGGCAAACCGTGGAAGAGCCATGGCTGTCCCCCGCCGTGGTTGAAAGGCAGGCTGAGGAGACCCCCCACACACACACATGCACGCCCTCTCCCGGAGCCCGCCAGGGGCCAGCCGCGCCAATGCCGACCCGCACCCGCCGAGTAAGTCCTCGGGCGCAATGAGGCAGCCGCTCGCCGCCCAAGGTTGAAGCTGTGGTGGCGGCGGCGGCTTTCCCTCAGTTCGGGGGGCTCCTTCGCATCTTCCTCCTCCTGCTGCTGCTGCTGCTGCTGTCAAAGGAGGGCGCCTGCGGTTAGGCGCGAAGCCGGCTAGGAGGCATGAAGGGCGCTACGGTGGAGCCGGGGCTGTAATTGCTCGCTGGGCTGGCTCTTCTTGGGGCTTCTTGGCAGGAGAAAGGAGCGCCGTCGAGCTCTGCCCAGCGATGCCTTTGTGCCATGCCCGCTCCTCGCCGAGGAGAGGAATCGGCGCCCGAAGGCGGCTGCTGCCCGTCTGACTGACTGCGGCTACTTTGCCCGGCGACCAGCCTTCTTTCCTCTCTTCTCCTCCGGGCCACCTTTCTGAACTTCCAGGGATGGCCGATTGGCGCGCCAGGGAAGGTTAAACGCCGAAAATGGGGCTTCTCTAACGCGGGCTCGTCCTGGCTCCGAGTGGGAAGGGGCATCCCGGAAGGCTGCCCTCTCGAGCCAAAAAGGCAAGCAGGCTGGTGGCCCCGAAGAACCAGGCGAATTTTGGAAACCGGGGGGGAGGGAGCTCCAAAGTTAAAGAGGGAAGGGGACAAGGGGGTGGTGGCGGAAAGAAGGGAGAGAGAGAACCGAAGGGAGGGGAAGGGTTAGAAAGGGAAAGGGGAAAGGGGAAGCAGAGTCATCCGTTTCTCACCTCTGGCAACACTGCAGGTTGGAGACTCTGGCTGCCTTCTTGGTCTTGGAGACCCTGGCTGCCCTCTTGGTATTATGTCTGCACTTCGAAGGAAATTTGGGGACGATTATCAAGTAGTGACCACCTCGTCCAGTGGGTCAGGCTTCCACCAGCAGCAAGGCTCGGCCCACAAGAAAAAGCGCCAGAGGTTTGTGGACAAGAATGGCAGGTGTAACGTGCAGCATGGCAACCTGGGCAGCGAGACGAGCCGCTATCTGTCGGACTTGTTCACCACCTTGGTGGACCTCAAGTGGCGCTGGAACCTTTTCATCTTTATCCTCACCTACACTGTGGCCTGGCTTTTCATGGCCTCCATGTGGTGGGTCATTGCCTACATACGGGGTGACTTGAACAAAGCCCACGATGAGAAATACACCCCGTGTGTTGCCAACGTCTATAACTTCCCCTCTGCCTTCCTCTTCTTCATAGAGACAGAGGCTACTATTGGGTATGGCTACAGATACATTACAGACAAATGCCCGGAGGGAATCATCCTCTTTCTTTTCCAGTCCATCTTGGGCTCCATTGTGGATGCTTTTCTTATAGGCTGTATGTTTATCAAGATGTCCCAACCTAAAAAACGGGCGGAGACACTGATGTTCAGTGAACATGCTGTCATATCCATGAGGGATGGCAAACTTACCCTCATGTTCAGGGTGGGCAACCTTCGCAACAGCCACATGGTTTCTGCACAAATCCGCTGCAAACTTCTCAAAGTAAGTTCAAGCTTTCTTGCCTTCAGTTCTAATCATATGGACTATTATATCTTTTCTTCATTTTTGTTTTCCAGTTTAAAGGTGCATGCTTCCATGCCTTTCTTAACAGGGTTTCACTTAAACTACATACAGTACGTGTTTTTCTAACTGCCACCTCATTTTAAAGGTTTTTTTAAAATAAAAATTAAATAGAAACGTTAGAAGACGCAAGTGAATAAGCTAGGATAATTGTCAGGAACACTACAAAATTCCATGGTTGAGACAGGGCGCAAGGACAAGTTTGATTTTCTTTCCTATATTTTTCAGAGAACTCTTAGCATATTTCTTGTGCTTGAGTTTTATATTTTCATAGTATTTGCATTGCTATTTCCTATGAGGCAATGTCTCCCAATGTGCCTCTTTCTATGATCCATTTTTCCTTAATCTGTTGCATTGCTTCTCCTCTAGTTTCCTTTTTGAAATCATGATTTCCTGCATCTGTGGCCCAGTTCCCTTTTTCATTACAGTAGCAACTCCTCAACCTGCTAATGATTTGAAGTTAATTTTTTTTATGTAGTCCTCAGCCTTTAAATTAAAGCTTTCTTCATATTTCTGGTTTCTGAATTATAGTCTGAAGTACAATCATTTTACCAGCACAAGTTGTCTTTTTAAATTCTTGATGAAACCACTTGTACTTATTTCTTTTTGCAAAATTCTGTTTAATAGTTCTATCCATCTCCTTTTATAAATAAAAGAGAAAAGTCATTGCCTTCAAGAGTGGACAGATTGGTGCTGTTTATTAAATGAACATGACTTTTTAAGGTTCAGTTATTCCATTGGAAATATTGATCGTGAAGTGTGCAGGCAGTATGACTGAAGTACTTAATTCTGTTAAGTTCTGTACATTACATATATTTCTTAAGGTTCAGTATGGTGATGTCACGATCTTATATTTCTTTCAAGAGCCAGTAAGTTTTAAGATTAAACATTATTTTGACTGCTGAGATTTCTTAGTCCAAATGTGATCAAATGATATAGTCTCCTGAGTGGCTATTATGTACAGTTTATTTAAAGTGCTATACAGATCTATTACTGTCACCTGTTGAAACTTGTGTTATAGGTCATAGGTATAACTGTTTAAAAGTAAAATGTTTCGGCAAGGCCAGTTCATGTTTCAGCTTTGCTGCTGCCTTATCTCCTGGTTGTGAGGACAACTCTGTGGGTTGAAATGCTCCTCCTTCCTGCTGATACATAGGAGATAAAATTCTTCTCTTATTCTGAAACCATCACTGTGTTTTGCAATTATGCCAGCTTCAAACTGCTTTAGACTATATATGGTTAATGTTAACACTGGTGGATGTGCTGCTGTGGAAAAAGAGTTTAAACTAACAAAAACCATGCATTTGCATTGCAGTTTTGTCACATAGATTATGTTTTCATATTGTAGTATAAAAATACCTTGAGGGGAACCTGGTGTTTCCTCTTTCTTGTTATTACTGTAGTTTTTCTGATTTTTGAAGACTGATTTTTGTACTGGAAGATTCTTTTAATAAGATAAAATACTGTCTTATGCAGAGAAACTCCCTTAGAAATGATAAAAATTCTGGTTGATACTTACTGCATTGTTACTATTTTAAATTAGGGCAAATTCTTTGACTTCATTAACTTAAGATTCTATTATATATTCAGCTAGGCTGTCTGATCCTTTTTTCTTGAGTGAGATATTTAGGAGTTTTGTTTTTTGATAATTAACTCTGACTTCCAAATGTGCTTAGTGATTTATGGTGAATAATGACATATAACACTGAGGTGGAAGTCATTAATTTACAATGTATGCGGTGTGTGATAAACAACTAGTTTGGTCAAGAACTCATACAGTTAGCAAAGTTTACCTTATATTTTTCTGAATAAAGGTAAATTATTTTGAGAAATTAAGGATATTTGTATTCCTTACCTAAACTCCAATATATTTAATGAATGATAGCATAGATAGCTTCTTGTCACTTACAACAGAAAGAGGTTCAAAAATTAACATTCTTGTTGTCCTTTGTATTACAATATTTGCTTTTAGAATTTTTAGATATTTTATTATAAATGTTATATAGGGAAATGTGCATAGTACTATGCACTAATGTGCATAGTAGCCATCACTACTAACTTTATCAGTACTTTTAATTTAAAATGATAACAAATGATATGTGAAATATCCTTATTAGTATTCATCTAGTGATTAGATGAAAAGATTCTAATCTTTTCAAGGCACCAATATATCCACCGTGGAATGGACTTTCTTCATTAGGTTGTAACAACTAATTATAAAAACAGATTGCAGTATTTATCCCAGACCTAAGTTTAAATTAATTATTTTCCCCCAGATCAAATTTGCATTGTACATTAATTACCCTACTGGTTTATACATTATAAAGTTGATCTTTTCTATAACTTTGACATGTCTTTACATGTGATTTATTTGATTGAGTAAATAAGGTGGCAAATGTGATCAGTTATATAGGAGAATGTTGTACCCTACAGAACTTTAAAAATGTATATGCATCATTTAAACAGTATCACATTTAATTGTATCTTTTAAAAAGTCTCCGTGTATTCTCTTATGCTGTTATGTAACCAAGAAAAGATACGGATTTAGTCGCAAAGCATTATGAATGAGTAATGACATAATGTGCTGCCTCTATTTTATATAATGCAGCTAGAAAATATAAAGTATATTCCTTAACATGAAGCAGCATGTGCATAAAATGACTTGCTTACGATTTGTGAATACTGAACTACTCCTATAGTACAGCATACCAATTCAGAAAAATAATTACGGATGACAATTAGGGTACCAAAGCTAACAATTCAATAATATGTGGCTGACTTTTGGCAAGAGGAAAATCTAAATCTGAAAAAATATATGGGGAATTTATTTAGGGGGTAGGTGAAGCTTACCAAAAAGAACTAAGGAGTTTGTGATGTGTGTACAGGTAGTCCTCAACTTAACAACAGTTCACTTAGCGACCGCTCAGTTACAACAGCACTGAAAAAAGTGACTTATGACCATTTTTCATAGTTACATTTGTAGCATTCCCATGATCATGTGATCAAAATTCAGATGCTTGGCAACTGGCTCATACTTATGACCATTGCCATGTCCCAAGGTCATGTGATCATCTTTTGCAACCTTTTGACAAGCAAAATTAATGGAGAAGCCAGATTCTCTTAACAACCGGGTGGTTAACTTATCAATTGCACTGTGGTAAGAGAGGTCATAAGATAGGGCAAAATCTATCTCTTTCCATATATTTGTAAATAAATATATGGAGAGACAAAGGACAGTGTGAATAGTTTTTCCTTTAATTATAGCACATTTATATTTTCTAAAGTTTGAATCCAGTCTTTTATTTAAAGCTGTGTCTAATAGGTCCAGCAACTTTTCATCTATAAAAAACACAGGGTAATCCTTGTTCCAGGAGTAGATAATCTTGTCTCCTGGATGTCAGAATGTAGATTTACAGCCTGCGTGGATGAGATATAGTTTAAGTTATCCTTCCAAAATTGTGGTGCCTTCCAGATGTTCTCAGGATTATGAGCTATGATCATGATTTAGTTCTCAGGATTATGAGCTATGATCATGTTGACTAAGGAATTTTGGAAATTGGAGTCATATAGTTTGAAGGTGCCCAGGTTGGAAAAAACTACTCTAAAACATTTATCTTATGGAAAATCATCCTCTTGCAAACCTCTTGACCTTATTGACTTGGATATGTATTATGGTAAGGCAGCTGCCATTCATTTCTTTGAAGCTTTTGAATTTACAGACTTTTTAAAAAGAGAAAAAGAAGTATTGTCCTATGGCTTCAAAGTCTTGAAGTGCTGAAAACTGTGTGAAAAAGACTGAAGAAGAAAAGATTTTTCAAAACTAGCTAATATAAAATTAAGAGCTTTGAGCTAATTTTAACATGTCTTTGTATTTCTTTTTTCTTTGTGAATTAAATCTATCTCTTGGTTAACTGTATTAGTTTAAGATTAATAATAGATAGTAATTTAGAATAAAGGCTGTTATTCTTACTAAATAGTGATACCAGAAGCAATAAAACTAATCAAAATAAAATAAGTATCAGAATGAATAGCGAAATGCACCGTGATGACAAGTTACAATATCATGTGCTGTGGAGCAGATAAATTAATTCACTAGTCCTTTGACAAGCTATCCATGATGATCTTACCTGCCTCAGTTGATTGTTGTGTTACTGAGCTTGTTTTTCTGGGTAAAACAAGTTAATCTAATATATAATATATGAAGAAATCATGGAACAATGTTTCAGCCTGAAAAACTTCAGAGATAACTCATAGGTCGCATTAAATTATTTTTTGACATTTTTTAAATATAGTGTTAAAATTGCTATTTTTTATAATTTTCTTGAGAAAAAAAGATTAAAAATGTAATAATTCTGTATATTTTGGAACAATTTATATTCCATTCCTCTTAACGAGAAAGGTACATTTTTTTCTCTAACTTATCAAATATCATTCATCATAGGCCATTCTGTGATACTCATTTCCTATGAAATGCAGATTGAAAACAAAATAAATTAACAGCAAAATTCTATAGATGTTTCTGAAATCATTTCATATGCTTAATGTAGACATATGTAATAAAAAGGCATAAAAACATGTTCGTATCTTATTCTGGATGCTGGTTTGGGGTTTTTTTGTTTGTTCGTTCTTGTTACTTTTTGTGCCTTCAAATCAGTATTGATTGATCTCCTGGATTAGTCCTTACTGTTTCGTTGCCAATGTTTTTCAGAAGTGGCTTGCCATTGTCTTCTTTCTAGAGTTGACAGTGTGTGACTTGCTCAAGGTCATCCATCTCGTTTCATGCCTAAGGTTGGAACTAGATCTCAGACTCTCCTGGTTTCTAGCCAGGTGCCTTCGCCACTATGCTAATCTGGCTGTATTTGCTATTAGGCTGTTTAATAAAAGCTGTTAAGTGACTTTCATGGCTTTCTTTCCTAACAACAGCATAGGGTGCCAAAATTTAAAACTTTGATATTTTAAGTATAGGCCTCAGTATGTATAATGTTCTGATAGTATTTGGAGATTTATGCAATTCCAGATTTCATATAATTTATTACAGCAGAGTTTTTCATCTGCAAAATGTTATAGAATAACATTCAGATTACAGCCCATTCCTGTCCTAAGCATAATTTCTAGGAGTTCTTACTGAAAGAACTAAGTTCCAAATAAGTATATTTAATATGTCAGTAGTACTGGCCAATACGTAAGTATCTGGACATTTTAAAAGTTTATCCCACAATAAATAATATAAAGTTGTTTCTCTGCACATATTTTTTTTATTACATTAAGCGAGTCCAATTAAGAAATAGCTATATTTTAGCTGAGGTTCATACACAATTGTCATTTTGGCAATTATTTTTAACTGATTCAAATTTAGATATGGTTATATATTAATAGCACGTTAATCTTTAGTAACCCCTACCATTAATTTCAAGTGTTCTCTGCTATAGATATGACTAAAGCTTCAGTCCTATACTTGTATACCCGGCCCTTTTGAATAGATCCATTGCAAATGTAATTATGTTTATTAAAAGAACCGAATCCGTCTGTACAATAGATGTCCCCCTCTCTTTTTCTTGGAACAACTTCCAGATGGTTTTTGAGGGGGCATTTCATGTGGTATGAGAGAATATAAGTGAAGATAGTATGAACGTTTATTTGCATAATATTGAGACTACTCCAGTATTTGGATCTAATCTTGCATGCATATTTGTTCAGTCTTAATACTTTTGTTTTAATTGGCACATAAGATTGCTTTTTTGTTCCTAAAATCAGCCACTAAATTAGAAATAAAAAATAAAGCTTGTGAATCAGTCTGGAATCAAAGGGGGATAGAGTAAGCCGAGCAGAATAAAATTCTTCTATTGCTGTATTTATGCCATCTATCCTTCTTTGGAATGCTAATAAATAGTCATTATGCTGTCACACAAAAGCCTTGTATCTTTGGGTTAGTTTCAGGGGTGGGATTCAAAAATTTTAACAACCGGTTCTGTGGGCGTGGCTTAGGTGGTGGGTGTAGCTTGGTCATCATGTGACTGGGTGAACATGGCTTGGTGGTCATGTTATTGGCTGGGTGTGGCCAACTCAATATCACTCACATCAAGGCAAGCATCTCCTCGCCTGGCCTCTCATAACTCTGGGGATCCTGAAACAGTCGTAAGTGTGAAAAATGGTCATAAGTCACTTTTTTCAGTGCCATTTTAAATTTGAATGGTCGCTCCACACAAGCAAAGGACCAGCAAAGGAGGGGAAAAAAAACTCCAGAGAAGTTCCTGAGACAGGAAGTCTAGTCCTGCCAAGAATGTAATAAGGGTTAACGGAGAGGCAGTTTCTGTAAGCAATACCAGAATGTTTCCTTCCTGTCTTCCTTACAGGATTACGCCAGTAATTTCTTCTAACAACCGGTTCTCCGAACTGCTTAGAATGTTAACAAACTGGTTCTAGCGAATAGGTGCGAACTGGTAGAATCCCACCCCGGTTAGTTTCTTTAGGCGTTGAGACTTTCAGAATGATCCTATTCCATAGGCTGATTTAGGTAGGGAAAAAAAAACCAGTTTGTAGTCTTGTAGGCTGTGTTTCCAACAATATTAAGTTGTTTACTGATCAAATAATTCCTTTTTTTTTTTTTTTTTTGGACTGAGCTTCAGCTATTAGGCCACATGCAATTATTGTATCATGGTAAGCTTTCACATTTTCACAGCTTGCTTTATGTGAGTTAAGAACTTAGTAGAATTTAGCATTATTATCCAGTGGATAAGATCTAGCTTTCAATATTCCCAGACCAGGATATAGCTCTAAGTCAGGGGTCTCCAACCTTGGCAACTTTAAGACTTGTGGACTTCAACTCCCAGAGTTCCTCAGCCAGCTTTGCTGGGAATTGAAGTCCACAAGTCTTAAAGTTGCCAAGGTTGGAGACCCCTGCTCCTAAGTCACATAAAGTTGTCTTTATGAGGCTTAACTTAGGCAGAAATCTCTAAAACACCTGGCTTTGTTATTGCTATTTGTTATTGCTATTACTATTTAAAGGCTATGTAGTTCTTCAGGCTAGTTCTGCTGACTGCTGGCTGCCTGCAGTTTGGCGAATCGAATCTCACCAGGCTCAAGGTTGACTCAGCCTTCTATCCTTCCAAGGGGGGGCAAAACGAGGACCCAGATTGTTGCGGGCGATATGCTGACTCTGTAAACCGCTTAGAGACCGTAAAGCACTGTGAAGTGGTATATAAGTCTAAGTGCTATTGCTACTGAAGGAAAACTTTGCCCTTCTGTAGCATAGAATCTTTTTATGAGAACAGCAAACCTTAATAAACAGCATTTTAAAATATGTTTCTTGTGGATCACACGTACCATTATTATTGTTACAAGAAACTTTCTTGTTGGGAATATGTGAAGAGTGAGTAGTAAAAAAGGGCAACATTTTTGTATTTAAACTAATTTTAACAGAAAACATAATGCTAATGATAGTTCAAGCCTCAAGATTCTGACTGTAGAAAGCAAATCACAGGATTCAGCCAAAATATTGCTTAAGGGTTGTTTGTATTTACTATTTAAAGGCTATGTAGTTCTTCAGTTAGCTAAGAAATTAATGTATGGGATCAAAATCCTAGTCAATGCTCACAATAAATTTATATGCAGTAATAATAATAGTTGTGTGATAGCGAGATGGAAGACAAACACATTTAATAAATAAAATAATACATGTAGGTACACCTGAGTATAATATAGTACAGTATATTAGTTCATTGACACAGCTGCTGAAGATAACTGGACCCAAATGGTAGTTTAATTAAGTCAAGAGTAGATTAACAACTTTTTGTGTGTGAGTTTCCTTTCGGGAGACAATTGCATTTTCATAAATATTACTGAGGCCACCAGAAAGGAATACCATTTGTACAAAGTGCTGTCTGCAGGAAACCATGTAAAAGAAATTATCTTTTAGTAGTACCGGTAGGAAAATACTGGGAGAGCTCAAAAGTTTTTGCCTTCTTCCTTTTTTCTATAAAATAGCTTTGTGCCTAAACAGTTTGTTTGCAATTTGACTTGGATGATTCATGGTGAAAAGTACTGTATGGATATCACTTATTGTCATATTGTCTTGAAAATAACTATACTAGTTATTACTTCTTTTTCTTTCTTCATGTTTGCTTATAGTCTCGGCAAACTCCTGAAGGTGAATTTCTGCCCCTCGATCAACTTGAACTGGATGTAGGTTTTAGTACAGGGGCGGATCAACTTTTTCTTGTATCACCACTTACAATCTGCCATGTGATCGATTCAAAAAGCCCCTTCTATGACCTTTCTCAGCGAAGCATGCAAACTGAACAGTTTGAAATTGTTGTCATCCTAGAGGGCATTGTGGAAACAACTGGTGAGTACAGTGATTTCAGACATAATGAGCCCATGTGTTTGTATTTTGTATCTGATACCCCCCCCCCCCCAAAAAAAAAGTAATGTTAATTAATCTATGAACGCCATTTATGGATATAGTAAATATAGCGAGTAGTTATATTGAACATTTGGAAAATGTTTAAGAGAATCTGTGTCTGAATATTTAAGAAATAATGAGTGCTGCTGTTGAAACATAGTTTGAGTTGTTATAGGTTGTATTTCTCCCAAATATCTTGAATTGCTGTTGTACCTTATAATCTTTTTGATATTAAACATACATTAAGAAATGATAGGGACATTTAAGTTGGCTCACATTATATGCAGGTGAGATTTGTCTGTCTGCCAAAATCCTACAGATTTTATGAAACTAGGGTTGTGGTATTTCTTGTCTGAGAATTCTTTCTTGAACAAAATAATAATTTACCAATAAAGCTGAGGAGGAAAGCATGCAGTGCTATAATATATAACACTAAACTGAAGAAAAACCATGTCATTAAAAATACCTGGTTGGAAATGAATTCACTGGTATTTGTAGTGTGAGATCATTCTCTGAAATGTTTGGCTTTCTCTTGTCTTCCTCCCCACTCCCCCAAGTCCTAAAAAGAGGATTGGTGTATATTTTGTTTGCAGTTAACTTTGGTGAAGTTAATAGGCACAAAAGTCTGAATTATTTGCAAGTGTTAACTAGTGTCTTCCCTGTTTCAGTGATGCATGGAGCCAAGGTGTGTTCTAGTCAATATTTTGGATGTTCCCAATATTTATTAAAATTACCATACATGAGTACTTCTACAACTTGACAAATATTTTGCTCTGCCTTAAGAGTGCCTATTTATCTTCTAATTCCTGTTAATCCCTCTCAGCATTCCCAGGTACTGCCATACGCTTGCCCTATTTTTTCTGCATTGTTGTTTATGTTGGCAGAATAAATAGAATATCTCCACTTTGACGGTATTTCTGTTTCCCCCCTCAAACCCCCATGTGTGAGAATCTCAGCACTGAGAACATTAGAACGGTATGGTGCAGTTGATTTGTTTTACTTAATCATTTGGAATATTTACGTGGCTGCTCATCTTAACTGAATAACTTGAGGTAGTTGATAATAGTACTAGCATAAATGGTACTAGCATAAAATTAGAACAGAAAATACAATGAAAAGCAATCATAATAAAATGAAGAGCCAAGGGATCTCAAGCAATTCACTGTCCTGGAAACATGCATATCAGGCTCCACAAGCAACCTGGTCCTAACACCTGAAGAAAAATCAAGATTTTCATGGCCTTCTGGAAGGTCAGCAGAATTGCACCTATTTGGAATTCCTTCCATTTCCTCCCAGGGCAAGCCTGTTCCATAGGGCAACTGACACAATGGGTCTTATAAAATGGTACTGTTTCACACCCAGCAGGCGTCACATCCTCTTCCTCACTTACCTTTCAAAGATCTCTGTAACTTGGGTTAGGAAAGCAGAAGTGGCTGCTTTGTCCTGTGGCCATTGGGATGAGTCGAGAAGCAGCCACCATTTTTGAGTGGGCGCATTGGATGTGGTTTCTTAGAAAATGGTGGGTGCTTCCAGAATTGTATTACACAGCCATGTGACAAAGCAACCCATTCTGCTTTTGTAACATGGTTTGCACAGCTCTGTGAAAAACTCCAGAGCTCTTCAAAAGTGTGTGATGGGGGTTGAGGACCAAGTCCAAGCCTTGTGGGAACCTGGTGGTGGGAATAAGGCTACTCCACCTCTTGGCTGCTTGAACAACAGCCACAGGGCATGGGCCAGTTATCTTGAAGCACCACAACCTGCTCTTTTAGTACCTAGAAGTGTGAGTCCTCTGCCACATCAAGGGCTACCATCCACAGTACACCATCACCGTTTTTCTCTAGGCATGTTGGAGAGCAGGATCAGTGCTACCCTGTCATTGTAGGCAGGTAGCCTTTTATTTATTCACTTACTAACTTTTTAACTTTCTTCTGTGAATTTAGAATTCTAATACTTTCATCAGTAAGTAATGATCTGCAGTAAGAGTCAAATGAATAGAGATAAATTATAGGATAAATAATTCTATATAGTGAAAATAAAACAGAATTCACATTCAAAAGTTTATCAGTTTGAATATTAACAATTGTAGACAGAGAGTTAAAGTCCAGTGTCTTCAGTTAATTAATTAAGACAATTAATTGGACAGGTAATCATAAACTAGGACAGGGTGTCAGACTTTCATTGAGGGCTGTATCAGGGCTGTGGTTGATCTCAGGGGTCTGGGTGGGCGTGGCCAACTGGGTAGGCATGGCCAGCTTGACGCCCCTCCCCAAACTGCTTGCATGTTTCCTCTTTGCATTGGGTAAATCGAGCCAAAACCATGCTGGCCCGATGTTTCTTTTTTGCATTGGGTAGACCAGGCCAATGCCATGCTGGACCGATGTTTCCTCTTCACATTGGGTAGACTGGGCCGAAACGACAGCCCCTTACATTTTCCAGGATGCCCCCATGGGCTGGATCCGACCACATTGCGGGCCAGATCCGGCCCACGGGCCTTCTGTTTGACACCCCTGAACTAGGACATTCAATAACTTGTCCAGGAACAAAATCTTTACTGTAGTTTAGGACTTGTAGGTATTACAGCCACTTGATAATCATTGAATATTGCAAGTTGATCCAGAATGTATAATTTCTGATTCAGATTCAATACCCTCTTCATACGTGTAAGAAACTTGCTGCTCTTAGTCAATTATTAGTATCCATTGCTTGTTTATATTCTCCACATTTATGCTCTGAGAATTTCTTGTCACTATTAGATTCCTTAATCTTTTCTATCCTTAACTCTCTCCTATACAATTAACATGCGGCAAGGCACTGACGCTTTCAGGGTGGTCTATTCGGCTAGGCCACTTTAATGCAGTTCTGTACACAGTTTGCAATACAAGTTTTGGATTACTGAGAGATGGCATATAATTTCCTAGGGAAGGGGGTATTCCTACGTGGCTATGACTGCATAGGCTGTGCCTCCATAGCTTCCTCTGAAAGAGGAGAAGATTGGGGGTGGACTGTGAGTTGAAAGCATTAAATGTATCATTAACTTGAAGCTTTCCTCAATACCCACATTAAACTGAAGCTGCTCTCAGCATCTAGGCAGGCCCAATTTAAAGCAGTCAACATAAAGGGAGTGCTATCCTGTCCCAGTTCTTCCTGTGTTTCATCAAATAGTTCTTTTTGTTGTACTATTAAGGCTCTCTCATTTGATCCCAGTTCTCTCATGAAGAATTGGAACTCAGTTGTTTATTCTGTACCAGTCGTAGGAAATCCATTCATTTCAAACTTAGTGTATTTCTTTACAGAATCTTCAAGGTGGATGTCAGATGTCCAGCAAAATTTGTGCACATGTCTAAGTCTCTGGCTGAATATGTAACTTGTCTTTTCATCGAGAATCCCTCTTTGGCCAGGATGGTAGAGAAATCATCAGGTTGTAGGGACACCTGCTTCTCCGATTGAGGCATGGAAACAGCACGTGTGTTTCATCAATCTATTGTATCTTTCTGGCAATTAAGCAGGTAGATGACACATAGTCATAGTAGCTATTCCTTCATACTAAAGGTGTAAACATTGAATGTAACATTGTTAGGTTCCCCAAGACATTAGCTTCATAGACATTTGAACAGGTCAGTTAGGAATCAATCTTTGTTGTATTTTAGGAACACTGCTAATTACAGTTTAGACTTACTAAGTTGCATAACAATTACCCAGAGGAATAAAACGTATCCACTTTTATTTCTACAAATCTAACACCCTTTCTGTGTTGCCTCTGTGTGGTGGATTGTCTATTTTTTGTTCTCACAATCAGACTTCACTAGCAGTTATATGTCTACATCCTCCACATTCTTGCTCTGAGATTTTCTTGTGGATCCAACTAACAATCTCCTGAAAGATGGCCCCATTAGAGTGACCATCTCAGACAGGTTATTGGCTGTAGTAGGCTTCTAAATCATCCTGAAAAGTTTTATAGTTGGATCCACTGGTAATTCCATCAATATAAGTAGGCACAATATTATAACTGTGTCATCAGTAAGCACTAGAATCAGGGATCTCATTACAGCCATATCTGTTGAGCATCAGGTTGAGCACCATCTGCTTCAGATTGGCCTCATGAAATAATTACAGGAATTGAAGTAGGAAGCCATTTAAATAGCTGAAATACAAATAGATAAAAACTGGACTTTAATTCTTTGAAACATAACATAGACCTCATTTGAAAGCTTTGATCAGATACACAAAAGAAGCATTTCTTTCTACTGCATTCACATATTTTTCCTAGTGGAGCTGTTGAAAATGAAAAGGGAACTAATTCAGGTCTCTCTTCTCCTGAATCTAAACTGAACTTCAGTAGCCAGCTGTGAAACTTGTAATGAATATTTTGTGAGTAAAATATCTTGCATCCAGGTTGACTGGGTGCATGTGCATGACAGCTACAAAGTGAATTACAACGATGTTTTAGGATTAGTACTATATATGATTCTCAAGCGAATGGAAAGTCTGCTTAGATAGTGCAATTTGCCACTGATCTTTCGGCCCCAGTAGGTAGATCTGAGCAAGAACCAATACCACAAGAAGGGAAAGACTGTTTTCATTGAGAATGGCTACAATTACAGAATCCTGCAGGTCTGATTGTCATTGCCTTCTGCTTGTTTTAGGCTTAAGGTGTGTTCTTATCATTGCTTTGGTAACAGATCTGACCTATCTTCATCAAGGTCATCTTATTCTCTACACTATCCTCTGATTTCTGTCCAACATGGTCCTTAGTTCCAAGCCAAAGATTATCAGTTATTTTCTTAGTGCTGTCAGAAATATCTCTCTGATATTACCTGGTAACAAGGAGAATTGGCTGTGATGGGAGCCAATATTTGCTGTGAAAGAAAGAAGTAAAGCTAAGAATCAAATCTGTTTAATGCATTGTCAGACAAAACACTAAAGAATCTGCTGGGAACAAGAAC